GGAGCCTGGGAGTGCATCAGGCCGTGGCGGAGCCTCGTGAAGAAAGGCGACACGTGCGTTTGTGTGCGGACTGGCATCATCGCAGCGCGTTTGCGTGTGAATTCCATGGCACAGCCGAACGCTAATCGACTGCTGCCTGGTGTCTCTTGGCTTTTCTTCCGAAGCCTCTAAGCATGTCCACTCTCAGAAAAAGGAGGTGGATTAAGGTCCCGCAGGCGCTGGGTTGTGTAGCTCCTGCCCAGTGCTTGCCAGCAGCCCCTCTGAGGCCAGACGTGTTCCTCCCACCTTCCCCGTGGTGATGACCCTTGTCTATCCTTGCTTGGCTGCTGCCTGGCTCACCCGTGCTACCATCCCGGCCGCCTCCCTGACCCCCAAGTCCCTCAGCCGCCCCGGGAGCTCGGCACTCGGTTTGCAAAACCAGCAAAGCTTCTTCTCAATCCTGCTAAGCCAGCCTGGCTGGTGGCAGGGAGCCGGCAGATGACAGGGAGCTCCAGGGAGCAAAGCCCACGTCCTCCAAGAGTTTTCCACAGGGTCGATGTCAAGTTTGGGGTGGGGGCATACGTGTGCGTGCACTGCCATGCCACTAGGAGAGGGAGGAGCGACAGCCAGGCGCCTTGGATCCTACACCCACAGGGTGATGTTTGCTCCCGCAGGCTCTTGGCCCTGCTCTGAGCCAGGGCAGCATCGTTCCTCCCCACAGACACATACTGGCGCGCGGCCCAGCCGAGCAGAAGGGTCCCAGTCGCGTGTGTGGGCAGGCACGTGTGCGTGTGTCCTGAGCGCCTGGCTGCCCGTGTTGTGTTGGACTCTAACTTTGATCCTGGGTTTGTTTTCTAACCGCCTGTGTCCTGTCTCTCCCCACTTCTCCCTGTCCCACTGTCCCCCATGCTTCCTCTCTGCAGGTTTTACTGGGACCTCATCATGCTGCTTCTGATGGTGGGGAATTTGATCATCCTGCCTGTGGGCATCACCTTCTTCAAGGATGAGAACACGCCTCCCTGGATTGTTTTCAACGTGCTTTCGGACACTTTCTTCTTGGCTGACTTGGTGCTGAACTTCCGGACGGGCATTGTGGTGGAGGACAACACAGAGATCATCCTTGACCCTCACACCATCAAAATGAAGTACTTGAAGAGCTGGTTCCTGGTTGACTTCATCTCCTCCATCCCGGTTGACTACATCTTCCTCATCGTTGATCTGGAGACCCAGGTGGATTCTGATGTCTACAAGACAGCCCGGGCCTTGCGCATCGTCCGCTTCACCAAGATCCTCAGCCTGCTGCGCCTGCTGCGCCTCTCGCGCCTCATCCGCTACATCCACCAGTGGGAGGAGGTCAGAACCCCTTGGGGACCCCAGGCCCCTGGGCAGGGTCTCAGGCCAGGTCAGGGATCCCTGGCTGTGGGGCATGGCTGCTGGAGGGCAGGGTTTGGAGGGCTGGGTTCCGGGAAAAGAGCTCCTCTGTAGCTCCACTCCTGCCTCTTCCCCAGATCTTCCATATGACGTACGACCTGGCCAGTGCTGTGGTGAGGATCTTCAACCTCATCGGCATGATGCTGCTGTTGTGTCACTGGGACGGCTGCCTCCAGTTCCTGGTGCCCATGCTGCAGGACTTCCCCGAGGACTGCTGGGTCTCCATCAACCACATGGTGGTGAGTGCCCTGGGCAGGGGCGATACCTGCCGTGCATCCGCCAGGGGGAGGAGACCATTTGGTTACACGTCTCGTACTCCAAGGCTGGAGCTGCCTGGATCCGTGTGCTGATCCCTTGTGCCCTGCCAGGAGGGAACAGGGCGGTGGGGCTCCCCGAAGCAGGGACTGGTGCAGGCTCAGGGCTTTGCACAGTCCCCAGTGCCTCCTCCCGGAGCAGAGTGCTGTCCTTTGGCCTTGGACACCACAGAAACCTTTTCCTCACTGGGACTCTGGGCTCCCTGGCTCTGGGGAGGGGGGACTGGAAGGTTCAGCCCAGGAGGTCCTTCTGACAGACCCCCCCAGCGCTGCTGTTCCCTCGTCTACAGAATGACTCCTGGGGGAAGCAGTACTCGCACGCCCTGTTCAAGGCCATGAGCCACATGCTCTGCATCGGCTACGGGCAGCAGGCGCCTGAGGGCATGACTGACGTCTGGCTCACGATGCTGAGCATGATCGTGGGGGCCACCTGCTATGCCATGTTCATCGGCCACGCCACCGCCCTCATCCAGTCGCTGGACTCATCCCGGCGCCAGTACCAGGAGAAGGTCAGTGGTGGGGTGGTGGGTGCCTGAGTACTGGGGGAAGACACCCATAACTCCAAAACCTTCTCAGGACGGGCTGCCCGGCCCTGCAGGTTCCTGCCCTGATCTCTGCCCTTGCCACTTGCCTGGGGGGAGCAGGACTGAGGTCAGGTTGCCCACGTGGATAGAGATGCCCCATTCACGATCCTGGGGTTCACTCTAGCATAGTGACATCCCCATCCTCACCTCTGCCTTGAGACCCTCTGCGCCCTGTCTACATGGGGGTCCCATCCTCCACCCTGGAGGTGGCCCATGGGACAGGGCCCTGGAGCAGGGATGGCTGGGTCCCAACTCCAGCAGCAGCTGCTTCTCACTGCTGAGGAGAGGGAAAGCGTTGGCTGGCAGCTGGCCTCCAGCGCGGTGCAGCTTGTTTCAGCGCAGCCCCGTGTGCCTCTGCCTTGTCCTCGCAGTACAAGCAAGTGGAGCAGTACATGTCATTCCACAAGCTGCCTGGGGACACGCGCCAGCGGATCCACGAGTACTATGAGCACCGCTACCAAGGCAAGATGTTTGACGAGGAGAACATCCTGGGCGAGCTCAGTGAGCCACTCAAGGAGGTATGGGCAGGCACCCCAGTACTGGTGACTCGGAGGAGGGGGGTCAGTGCTTGCTGGGGTCAGGCTTG